GCTAACAAGGGAAGGTTGTTTGGGTCATTTGTCAAATCTTTATGAAAATTTGCCAGTTGATAGAAAATTGAAAACGGAACAAGGTGCGCTAAGTCGTTTTCTACACAATACCCCTAATTAAAAAGTTATAAGCATTTTAAGCTTGTGATCTAAAAAATGAGTTCTTCAGGCGCTTTTGCACCAGTACCGCACCGTTGCCACATTTTGTTCATGGGTGGTTTCTTGACCCTCTCCCGTCTCCACTCCCCACGTCTCTTGTAGCACAATCTTTTGAAAAAATTTTGGCGAAAGTTCGAGACTAAAACTTTTTTTACCTTTTTGCTCTTGCCAATTAGGGTTAGTTGGGGTAAAATCCAAAAAGCAAAAAAGTTCGACGCATCAAAACCTGAACTCGATTACAAAAATTAAAAGTTTCGCACTCTTACGGCACTGCCCACTGCGCCAAACAGCTTTCCAGGTGGGGGCGATGCAAGAGCTGGAAAAGGGTTAGCACAATGAGGACCAGGTCAAAATTGTCGGGTCCTTTCAGCTTTGAGGTCCAATACAAATTCCAAGGAATTCCATAAACATACTCCTATCAAAAATGTCATCGCCACAGAGCAACACAAACCGAAACTCGGCCACAAATCACAAAAATCGGGGGACAAGACAGAATCTCTTCGTTACAATCACAAACGGCCTTAAGCGATGTTGGATAGATACTTTAAACAAAAAGAAAAAAAATAGAGGAAATTAAAGGCGGGGACCTAGTAAGCGAGAAAAAAGACGGCGGCAAAAACCAGGATCTATCGTTCTTCGGACATCGATTGGCCATCTTCTGGGTGCTGATGTGTCTGTTGGCTTGGCTCATTTGAAGCCACCGATGGTTGAATTTCGGTGGCGTATTGGGTCTGAAAGGTGTCACTTCTAAACAAAGAAAGTTTAAAAAAACTATATTTTATTAATTTTTTTGGATTTTAGTCGAAATTGGTGAAAATGACCTACGATTGTGAAAGAAGCTTTAAAAATCTCAATATGATTTTTGACAATCAGGAACTAACAAAAGCCATAGAAAATATCACATAAAACGCTTAAGAGTTTTGCCACCACCCCATCTCCCCGCTAACAGCCCAGTACCCATTAAGCGAGTATGAAAAGTGGAAGCCATTCTCAAATGAACTCTGCTAGCTTTCTTAATTTGGGTCTCCTCAACTACCTCGCTGATCATCGGGCTGATCGTCTCCTCGAGAGGCAGCGACGGGTAACCGGACGCCGTCGGCTCGGTAATGGAATGGCGAGACTGGAATAGGGATTTTTAATTTTTGAGTTTTTTAATTTTAGGCAATACGGAAATTCATCTGAAGTTACGGATAAAGCAAGCCCTTCGACGGGGTTGAAGCTCTTACACGTACCTTGGTAGATTTTCGGCTTGCACTCGGATCGGTGGTTGGCGCCATGGTACCAGTGATCTGAAAACGTCAATATTTTTTCATTTGGCGGCAAAATGGATAGGTAATCGCATTGAGTGTTGTGCGGCGTGTTTCGTTGTGTCGTGAGCGTGCAAAAAACGTACAGCAGTTGTGTGCCGAGTCAACGTCGTCGGTGTAGCCGTCGTGGGGGTGAGCGTAGTTCCGGTGGCGCTGCTCATCTAAAGCCAGGAGAACCATGCGGTTTCGTAGCTAAAAACTACCGTCGGCCTTCTCTCCTGTGACTGGCTGCCACTACTTCCGCTGTGTAGTGAGCGGGAGAGGCTGAGGGTCAGCGAGGAGCTTCCTGAAAAAGAAGTTAAGAAAATCCAAGCTGAAGGAGACTTACTAGACTCTATTGACTTCAACAACTTTTTGCCCTGCTTCTTGAGCTTCGGGTACTAAAATCAGGAATCATACGTCAAATTTGTCAAGGTTACCAGATTCCGACGGATGAATACCGGGACGACCATGAGAAGCGGATTGCCGAGCGGATCGTTTTCATAGTCTGAAAAAGTAAAATAGCGAGAGAGAGGAGAGGGAGAGAGAGAACGAGAGAGAGACAGAGAGAGAACGAGAACGGGAACAACGAACCAATCAATTTCCTCGAGCCCGAGAAGGCGAACGGCAGCGGCCTGCCACTGCTGCTGCTCCTGCTGCGCATCACCCAGGCCCGCTCCAGGTCGTCGAGCGCCTCCTGGCGTACTTCCCTAGAAGTTGATTAGCGTATTTCAAACTAAAGTGAGCACCAGCTAGCAGAAATCATTTGAACACCTTTCTCCAGCTCTCCAAAACCCACTCTTCATCCCGCCAATTGATCAACACCCCACTGCCCGGCTCGCCGAGGTACCAGGCTCCTGAAAAGGGAAATTTCCATAATTTGAGGTAAGCCTAAATTGTTACACTATCCGAAAAAAACTTCAAAATTACCAGTCATTCCAAGGACTTGGAAAAAGCTGTAGATGATGCCGAGGAGCACGACCAGATATCGTCGATGGGAGATGGCGTCCCAGTAGTACCGCCGGTTGAACGGGAATTGGGCCTAAATTGGGCCTTTTACAATGGTTTTATTGTTCACCTGATAACAAATTTAGTAGCTTAGCAAAAATGAAAATAAATTGAATTGAAATTTATTTTAATTTTTAATTTATTTAAATTGAAAAACGAACGTCTTCCGGCCGATCATAATCCCCAATGTACATGCATGTCCACCATCCGGGCAACGTCTCGTTGAGCTGGGAGCGGGGCGGACACTTGGCGATGCAGTGCTAAATTTCTCCTTCAAAAACTTAAGGTTATGGTACCCCATCCAGATCCATCGCCCTCTGGCAAGCTTTGCAAACGCTGGACCCTTCCAACGCACGTCACTTCGCTGCGATTAAGGGCTCGCAATCGATTACCCTATGAAAATCCGAATCCGCGCTTCCTAATAACGGAGCGTAATGGAACGCTATGGAAACAAGAGCGCGCGCAGAGAGTTTCATAACACGTAACGGCTAAAATGCGCGTCCCTTTAACGTGCAAAATTTATATATCTCTAGTTCTCATGCAATTTCCAAGGAATTCCACACAAAAAATACTTTATCAAAAATCCATCGCCACAAAGAAAAACAAAACCGAAAACTCGCCACAAATCACAAAAATCGGGGGACAAGACAGAATCTCTTCGTTACAATCACAAACAGCCTTAAGCGATGTTGAATAGATACTTTAAAACAAACAAAGAGAAACAGGAGAATTTAAAAAGCGGGGACCTAGTAAGCGAGAACGAAAAAAATAGTGGCGGCAAAAATCAGGAGCAATCTATAGTTCTTCGGACATCGAGTGGTGGTCATCTTCTGGGTGCTGGTGCGTCTGTTGGCTTGGCTCATCGGGTGTCACCGATGGTTGAATTTCGGTGGCGTATTGGGTCTGAAATGGTGTCGTCTTTAAGACGTTCTTAAGAATAAAGTTAAAAAAATACATTTATTAAATTTTTGAATTTTAGTCTAAAATCGATGAAAATGGCCTACGATTGTATACAGCTTTTAAAAATCTCTATATGATTTTTGACAATCAGGAACTAACAAAAGCCATAGAAAATATCACATAAAACGCTTAAGAGTTTTGCCACCACCCCAATCTCCCCGTAACAGCCCAGTACCCATTAAGCGAGTATGAAAAGTGGAAACCATTCTCAAATGAACTCTGCTAGCTTTCTGAATTTGGGTCTCCTCAACTACCTCGCTGATCGTCTCCTCGAGGGGCAGCGACGGGTAGCCGGACGCCGTCGGCTCGGTGATGGAATGGCGAGACTGGAATAGGGATTTTTTACTTTTTAAATTTTTTAGATCTAGATCTATATGTTTTTAGAGCGTACGGAAATTCATCCAAAGATACGGATAAAATAAGCTTTTAGGATTATGAAGCTCTAAGCTTTACCTTTGTAGATTTTCGGCTGGCACTCGGATCGGTGGTCGGCGCCATGGTACCAGTGATCTAAAGCGTCAATATTTATAATTTTGGCGGAAAATGGACGCGTTGCGTGTTGCGTCGCGTCTCGCGACATGCGCGTGGAAAAACATACAGCAGTTGTGTGCCGAGTCAACGTCGTCGGTGTAGCCGTCGTGGGGGTGAGCGTCGTTCCGGTGGCGCTGCTCATCTAAAGCCAGAAGAACCATGCTGTTTCGTAGCTAAAAACTACCGTCGGCCTTCTCTCCTGTGACTGGCTGCCACTACTTCCGCTGTGGAGTGAGCGGGAGAGACTGAGGGTCAGGGAGGAGCTTCCTGAAAAAGAAGTTAAGAAAATCCAAGCTGAAGAAGACTTACTAGACTCTATTGACTTCAACAACTTTTTGCCCTGCTTCTTGAGCTTCGGGTACTAAAATCAGGAATTATACGTCAACTTTGTCAAGGTTACCAGATTCCGACGGATGAATACCGGGACGACCATGAGGAGCGGATTGCCGAGCGGATCGTTTTCATAGTCTGAAAACGTAAAATAGCGAGAGAGAGAGGGACCGGGAGGGAGAGAACGAGAGAGAACGCGAGAGAACGAGAGAGAACGAGAACGGGAACAACGAACCAATCAATTTCCTCGAGCCCGAGAAGGCGAACGGCAGCGGCCTGCCACTGCTGCTGCTCCTGCTGCGCATCACCCAGGCCCGCTCCAGGTCGTCGAGCGCCTCCTGGCGTACTTCCCTAAAAGTTGAATAGCGTATTTCAACCAAAGGGAGCACCAACTAGCAGAGATCATTTGAACACCATTCTCCAGCTCTACAAAACCCACTCTTCATCCCGCCAATTGATCAACACCCCACTGCCCGGCTCGCCGAGGTACCAGGCTCCTGAAAAGGGAAATTACCATAATTTGAGGTAAGCCTAAATTATTACACCATCCCAAAAGACATCAAAAATTACCAGTCATTCCAAGGACTTGGAAAAAAATGTAGATGATGCCGAGGAGCACGACCAGATATCGTCGATGGGAGATGGCGTCCCAGTAGTACCGCCGGTTGAACGGGAATTGGGCCTAAAATCGATTTTTTTTTTGTTCGTATTCAAACCGGATTTAGTAGTTAATCGTCAAAACATTATTTTCTGGAAAACGAACGTCTTCCGGCCGATCATAATCCCCAATGTACATGCATGTCCACCATCCGGGCAGCGTTTCGTTGAGCTGGGAGCGGGGCGGACACTTGGCGATGCAGTGCTAAACGTCTCCTTCAAAAACTTAAGGCTATGGTACCCCATCCAGATCCATCGCCCTCTGGCAAGCTTTGCAGACGCTGGACCCTTCGCCCGTGCAGCCGCCCTTGCATTCCGGGTGGCACGGTAAGCAGGTGTTGTTCGCGTCCAGGTAGTGGAGTCTGAAAAAGCCATTTGAAGCTAGAGAACATTCAAAAAATATGTAACGTCGATTTCGTCGCACTCCAATACCTAATCCTAGAACCCGAGTCAAAAAGCAAAAAGTCTGATGAGAGTGGGATTCGAACCCACGCCTCCGGAGAGACTGGTGCCTTAAACCAGCGCCTTAGACCACTCGGCCATCTCACCATGGGAGAGGGGCGCCCGGGTGGCCTTATCTCGCCAGTGGGAGGTGGGGCGTGGGGGCACCGCAAAGGGCGAGTCCGGGTTTTTGCGACCGGAAATTGACAGCCATCCCATTATTGTGTCGGATCGGGGTTTTTCAACGAAATTGGATGGCAAAAAATATTGAGGTTTTCAGGGAAGTGAGAACGAGTTCCATATATCGTAAACCATACCCAGAAATTTGGAACTGAAACTAATGAGAAAAACTTTCGACTTCGAATTCGATTTTAAATCAAGTGACAAAATCTTACTCCAAACTACAAACCATACCTCAGGTCACAAAGATGCTCTGGCCGGAAGAGCTCGAGGCAAATCTGGCGATCCTGCGCGTCCGGATCTGCAGGGTCGTCCGGGTATTGGTAGGGTATGTTGGGCGGGATTCGCTTGGCCCCTGGCCGCTAAATTAACTTCTTTTAAAAAAACCTTGGAGACGCGCAAACCCATTCGCAGCGTCTGCACTTGGACGGGTGCGTACACTGGATGCAGACGTTCAGGTCGACGTCGAGGAACGAGCCGCTAAAAATCGGGGTAAAAATCGGGAAGTTCGACCAACTCTGGGCACTCGCTCACGCAGTAGCCGTGCATGTTTTTCGCATTGCCCGCCACGCATTCTGGACAAGGCTGAAAATTTGACATCTTGACGTTTGGGCCGTCATCATCCTATTAAAAAGGCTGAAAACGTACACTCAGGAAAGTCCTGGCGGTACAGTTTTGCATGCAGTTGGGGATGTTGCAAAACTCCGGGTACAGTAGCCGGGGGTCGCTCATACCTCTGAAAAAGATTGAAAAAGGATTTATCTTTGTCTTTCTCTCTCTCTCTCACTCTCTCCTCTCTCTCTCCCCCTCTCTCTCCATCTCTTACCTGGCAAAATGCCTGAGAACTTCCGCCGTACTGCCGAAAGATGCCGAGCGGACGAAGCCGAGCCTCGTCAATTGGAAAATCTTCCCACTACGCCCAGTCGGACAGAAGGCCTAGAATTTGCAGTTTGTAGCTTGTGACCTCGTACAATTTTGGAGTCCTGCTCGATTTGCGGCATGCCAGAGCGGCAGCTGAGGCAGTGGTAGTTTGATGGGCCATCTAGAAAGAAAGGTATAGCTCGCGAGTTTCCAAACAATCGCTGCTAGCTGTCCACCTAAAAATCCCTGAAATACCGACAACATTTTGAGCAGCTGGGATCGCAGGGGCGGCAGTGCAAGGGTTGAACGTTGTGCGGATAGTAGCCGTCGCTAGAACCGGAATTTTTGATATTTTTTTAGGTCATTTACGGGCACATGTAGTAGCACTGGTGGTACTTCTGCTTCCACAATCCGTCGTACAGGCTGTAAAGACCGCTCGAGCAGCGCAGGCAGCCGATTCTGGAAATAACGGAACTTCATAAAAATTTTGCTTGCTGCCGACCCATCACAACGACGGCACCAAGGAGGACAGTTCAGGCATTTGTACGTCGTGTAGTCGAGGTAGGTGCCGCTAAAAATGGGAAAATCTACCAAATTAAAGGGATCAAAAGGCGCGAAAATGAACCCATTGCACCAACTGGATTTCTAAAAGTATACGACAGTCATAATAATGCTTGGAATCTACTGAAATTTTGCTTCAAAAAGTCAATGTTGACGATCAAAAACAGGTCGAACGTCTTGAAGTCTTTGTTAGATTTTCGAGATCTAGTCGAGATTAGCTATGATTTTATGGCTTCCCAGTGTCTTCAAATTTCCCTTACTGTGGGCACAGCAACACGCAACGTCGCCGGAAGCGGCTGATCACCAGCAATCGACCCCGATCGCACTCCAGACAGTGGCCCGTCACCTAGAAGTTCAGCATCACCAACGCAGTAGGTGTTTCCCAACGTATGCAACGTAGCAAGTACGCACGTCAGTATGTAGGTAACGTACGCCACACTTCGGGCAATATAGCTAAAACCCACATCCTCACACCGCCTGCACCCGATTCCCGGACAGTTCAGACAGCGGACCGACGATTTGAAGTATCGCCCCTTGCATCTCTGGTCGATGACCTCGCAAATCTCGGAGTCGATCGACGGCTCGAAGCCCGGGGAGCAGACTTCACATTTCTGGAGCGGAAGTGGATGGCCCAGGCTGATGACTACTGACCTTGTTTCTACATCGGAGGCAGTTCGCCTGGCAGGGCACCGAGCATTGGTGAGAGATCAGGCTACGTCGAGTGCCGCTGAATACAAATTTGATTTCCTGCGGCTCTATCCCTTTATAAAAAAGCAGAATAGCCTGAAGGGTCGGAACGCGATGTGGAATGGTGCTAGAAAAAAAAGCTCTTTCAACTCCACCTCGGACAGTACTGCGGAACGGGGAGCGTCATTCCTCGGGCCCAGGCGGCGTCGCCGGTGCCTTTTAGATTGAAGCGCAGCCGGCACCGGGGTAGCATCCCACGTCCGAATCTACAATTTAGAGGTAACGAAATGCTCCTTAAGACGCACCGTAGGTCAAAGCCGGCCTCGCACTCCTCGCATCCCTTCGGCTGGTACACCGCACAGTGGTCGGTCGGCTCTGCGAAAACCTCGGGTATCCACGTCTAAATAACCTTACAGAAAGTTCGTTATTTCTAGTTTTGGTTCTGGACTGTTAACGGGAGGCGGGATTTTTAAGAGGGGGACCACTTTTTGCTTAGGAGTATTTTTTATTTGTTTATTTATTTATATACCTAAAAACGATGTAAATTGCCATAAAAATGTCTTGTATTTTGCTATAGAATCGTAGGGAATGACAGGGGGAAAATTTGGTTCCCCCCAAACTCCGACTCCCCCCCCCGCTAAAAAGTCAAGAACCAAAAAATTTGGTGAACTTTGGTAAAATTCGAAAAGAGCTCATACTCAGCTCATACCTCCAGCTCGAAGTTCAAGTCCTTGCACTGCCACTGGTCCAGTTGTTGATAGTTGGTATCGACCCGGGCGCTCTCCACGATCATCGTCACGCGGTATGGAAAGTAGTACGAACTGGGAAATTGTAAAATGCAGCGAAACATCGAAACACCCACTCAAACCCAAAATTCGGGGTCTTTAGCTGCCATTTCGTACAGGGTTGTAGTGAGCCGTCATGTTCGCTACTAAAAATACGAACATAAGTTGAAAATTCGGGGCCCAACTAATCGACTATCGGCGGCGCGATGAGGTTTCGAGGGATTGATAGGTGAGGTGCCGTCTGGAAAGAGATATAATGAATTGGAATAATCGTAAGTGCCAGAACGACGCAAACTATAGTGTTGCGTACACGTTGCTGATCGTGTAGCGCTAGGCCTCGCACTCGCTGAGCAGCGCTGCGCCGCGCCGCCTGCAATCACGCGCACGCTTCGAGCCAGTTTCCGCTTTGCGTGTTGCGTTGCGCGTTGGGTTGGCCTGGCGCCTGCGTGGTTGCGTGGCGGGTTGCGTGTCGCGTTCTTTTGGGCATTGCGTGACGATCGCACGGCGCGTTCCGCGGCACGTCGCTCGTCGCGTTGCCCCGCAGCAGTTGCCGGCCGGTGCGTCTGTCATTGCGCCTCCCACTCCGCCACGCATCGTGTGACGCGTGCGCCCAGCGTTGGGTGCAACCGTGCGCTCCCAACGTCGCGCGTTGCGTGTGCCGTCTAGTGGCCTCCCGGAAGTTTACACAATGGTCTATTTTTATTTTTAGTGTTTCGGAATACATAATAAATGCAAAAATTGCGTCCTCACATCAGATTTGGTGCCAGGGCCGGCGAGTTGAA